TTTCATGTAAGATAACCTACATGTGGATACCCTAATAAAGGGCGCCTACCAATAGAGGTGCATGTGAGAATGCAGAGGTCGAAACGTGTGTTTGAATTTTCATCATGACCCTTAAGAATCCCACATTTTTTAAGGCTTAAGAATGTAAGCAGCAAAAAGAATTTCCTGAGAATATGACTTAAGAATGAGTGCCATACTTAGCGAACCTATGGTAAGAACGGTTAAAACCGGCCAAAGAGCAGCTAAGTATGCTTTAGGCAAAGAATGAATAAGTTGGCCTAAGAATGTATAAGAACACCCCAAAGAACGAAAAGAATACATAAGACTGCTGGCCCTAAAGAATGCTAAAGAATGGTAAAGAGTGGTTTTATTTCTTAAGAATGAGACTTAAGAACGAGTGCCATACTTAGCAACCCTATGATAAGAATGGTTAAAACCGGCCAAAGAGCAGCTAAGTATGCTTTAACACTAAGTTGGTCTAAGAACGAATAAGAACACCCCAAAGAATGGAAGAGAATACCTAAGACTGCTGGGCCCCAAAGAATGCTAAAGAATTTCAAAGAATGGTTTTAAGATAAACGGATGCCTTACGAACGTTCTTAGAACGTTCTTAGAACGGTGTAAGAACGTTCTAATGGTTATTCAATTTTATCAATTTGGCTGGGCTAAGAACGAGTTAAGAACGTTCTTAACCCCCCTCCGTGTTTGTAGGGTGTAATGGAGGCTCACTATAGGAACCCGGATTCCAAGACAAAGAGGTCTGGCAAGTCAAGTCGTGCCCCGTTCCCCATGGGCCTGCCCCGTGGCAGGGTGGGCCAAGTTGGATTATGGCTCGGGTGAGCCAAGCAAAGCTCTGGCTGATGCAAGCACCACCACCCTTGGAGCGCTGTGTGTAGGTGGTGGCTGAGGTGCCTGTGTAGGTGACTTCCCCCTAGTTCTGCTTTATCCTTTTCGGGTGCAGTCGTGATGTGTCGCTGTTGCCCCTTGTTTGCCCCTTGTGTACCCCTTGTAGTGGTGTCCCGCTGGGTGTCTCTGCATTTTTGGGTGTTCTGCTGGCGGGCTGTAACCCCTGATCACTTTTCGTGGCATTGTGATGCGGGGATGCATTGCACCGACGATTCCTTGCACGGGGTCCACTGTAACCTTCATTCCTATAACCTTCATTCAGTGTATGTAAAGAAGTGCATGAATTCTCGGTCCTAGAGGACAGTGCGTTATGTGTGTGGTGTAGGGTGTGCAGGTTTCACACAGCACCCTTGGCCCTTCATCAGATTACATGCAGCACAAGTCACACGGCTGCCAGAGATTCACACAGGTTCACACAGCGGCCTCCTTCATCACGCCTGCCTGGGATTCAAAAATTCAGTGCTCCGTTTGGTGCTCCTGGAGTTTCATGCTCTGCGCGTTCCAGTAGTCTCTCTCAGGCTGTGACAGCTGCCGCCACTTCAAGGCGATTTGCTTTGTATGCTCATGAGGCAGGGAGCTCTGTCCAGCTGCCGCTGCTGCTGCCTTATGTGATGCCGCCGTATACCATCTCAAAGCTATTCACAACAACAAGTGTGTACTCCAAACATAACGGCGTTCTTGTGCTTGCATTCCTATGCCGTACGGACTGCCCTGCGAATCAAACAGGGAGCAAGTGGCTGCACCGGGCCGAGCCCCTTTTCGGCTTTGAAAAGCCGCCCCCTAGTCTGCACCTGTTCTTGAGTGACAATTTGCAGGTCCCCATCTCCCATATGATGTTGCTCTTGTAAACAAATAACATCCAAGCTATGCTGGGCCCACACCCCAGCCGCAGCATGGATATGGGTACAAGCCAATTGAGTACATAAACCCGCCAAGTGTAACACAGCAAAAGCGTAACCCGGGATGCGTTGGATGGGCCTTGCGTCGTTACATTGTCCGCCTCTTAGCAATGAACATCCTCGGCCTTAACTTCGAGCACATGAGCTATTCCACCTCGCGCTTACTGCGTTGGTTTAACCATTACACGAATGGTCAGGAATCGGAAAGCCGACCCGAAGATTACAACGGAAACCATGCGGCCCTGTATCGATAGTATTGAAACACAGCAAACGTAGCCCGGGATGCTTAGATGGGTTTTGCGTTGTTACATCAGGTTACATTACAAAGGGGCCTAGAATTAGGCCTCCTGCATCGTCACCACCGCCCCATTTACTGAGCGGGTACTTCCGTTACCCCATTCCACCTACTACTAGTCTATGTCCGTCTTCGTCCTTGCTGACTTGCATAAGGTCGCCCGGGTCATCATGTGGTAGGACATGAAATCTGGGCAGGCTTACTAAAATACCTCGCCTCTTCTGTTGGGGAATGCCACAATATCCGAAATTCGGCTGAACTCATTTTAACCTTGTAAGGTTTACTGACCAAAATAACGACCGACGAGGTTTCCATGCTACTGGCTGACATACCCGCTCATGTACGGATTTGGCTATATTGGCTTCAATGTCCTCTCCATCAAACAAATATCTACATTATGAAAAAAAGAAGCAATTAGCCATGACTGCAACCTCAGTCGAGCATGGTATCGACCAAGTATTGTCGCTAAATTACTAATGGCAGTCACGAATGAGTAGCCCAAACGCGTATGAAACAACTCAAAGTTATTAAGTTACTTTATCATCAAAGTTTCCCTCATATAAATTTCAAGTGTTACTAGCCAACAAGAAATTGAGCCACTCAAACTTGACTGATTAAATCGAAACAGCATCCAGTGACAAGGAAGCAGCATCAGTTGGGATAAACGATTTGTGTAACAAATTAGTATGCCTTGTAACAGCTGTTCAACAGAACTCACCGCCACTAACTGTCGGTGAACTAAGATTAGTCCTTCCTGGCAACCTGAGGCGCAAAACGATATTCACAGAACTCAAGGTTGTTAAAAAGGATGGTGTAAGAAGCAAAGTGTCAGATACAAAG